CTGTGTTTGCAGGGAAGGGTGAAGTAGTAAAATCTGTTAAAATTGGTCAGCACTGCTCCCATGTTTTCTGAGATCCTTTCAGTATTGGCATTGCACACAAGCCTGACTGCCATGGTCAGCACCAGGTGGAACTTACTTTTCCCAATACATGGTGGCAGAAGTGACAGGGAATCATACCCCCAGGGACAGCTCTTGATGGAGAGACGTGGGGTATAACATTATCCTTCACACCTTAGCTGAGATAATTCTGAAGTTTGAATCTTGTGCCACTTTCCAGAATTCCCTTTCAGGATGAAGACTCAGCTTACTCGCTGTGGGAAATGACACACGGTAAATTTTATTGGCTGTATTTTCTACCCTGTATCACATCTCCTCTGCCTAACTCATGTTCCGTGTTCCTTGCTTCTTCCAATAAAGTTGCTTGCGCATGAATCCTTGGCTCAGCTGTGCACTGGCACAACGGCACATAGGGGCTCAAACACTGCAAGGATTTCCTTTCAGATGATTAGCTTTATTTTCTTAGACTGGGGAACCGCTGCTCTCACTACTCATGTCTGGTAGCTTCACTACTTAATAGAAACTAGATTTATTTAAGCTCCTATGTGTAAAAAAAAAATTCTGATCAGCACAGGCATGTCTTCTTTCCACATTGGGCAATCTGTGATGAGGAGTCAATGTTACTGGCAGCCCCTTCAGAACCACATTTTTATTCAACTTATCTAACCTATTTTTACTGATTATTTACTATCTGTCAGTCATTATTTTAGGCTCAACTGCCACAGGATCAAGAGAATCAGGGGTATGAGGAGCAGGCTGTCATATTAAAACCAGTGGTCTTCATAAACCTCACTGAGAAAGTTACATTTGTGAAGATGGTGAATGATTTAGGTGAGTGCACATCTGTGGAAACAGTGCCCCAGGCAGAGGGTGAGGTTAGTACCAAGACCCTGAGGTGGGAGGTTGTCTGAGGCAATGTGGCTGCAGCAGAGCTATTGGGGGTGCATAGCAGCTAAGAGGAAGACAGGCATCTGAGTGACTGAGGACTCATTGCAGGGGTTTATTTATTTTTTGTTAATCCTCGCCTGAGAATATTTTTTCCTTGATTTTTAGAGAGTGGAAGGGAGAGATGGAGGGAGTGAGGGAGAGAGAGGAAAAAGAAAATCATTGAGAGAAAATCATTGATGTGAGGGAGATACATTAATTGGTTGCCTCCTGCACACACCCTACTGGGGCCAGGATTGCACCTGCAACCCTGGTACCTGCCCTTGTCTAAGAATTGAACCCAAGACCCTTTGGTGTGTGGGCCAACAGTGTGGTTTGAGCAGACACATGACATGATCTAACCTAGGATTTTAAAAATCATTATGGCTGCTGGGTTGAGCATGGATTGTAGGGTAAGGCAGCCTACTTGGAGCGGACTTGTACTATCCTGGTGTGATGTAGGTAGCTAGGGCCAAGGTGGGGATAATGGTGTAAGGGTTGAGAAGCGGTCAGTTAGGCTACATTTTAAAGGTGGAAGCAAGAGGATGTGGGTGTGAGAGAAAGAGACACCAAGAATGTCTCTAGGGTTGGAGGCCTGAACAACTGAAGAATGGAATTGCATTCATTGAGACAGGGAGGGCTATGAGTGGAGCAAATTTGGAAGGAAATGAAACATTAGAAGTTCAGGTTTTAAAATGTTCAAATTGTGACATTCCAAATTCAGAAATATAAGGTTCCACTTACATTAGATAACTACAGCAGTCAAATTCATTAGACACAGAAGTTAACATAGATTACCAGGAGATGGGAGGAAGGAGAATGGGGAGTTAGTATTTAATAGGTACCAATTTTTGTTTGGGGAAGATGAAAAATATCTGGAGATGGATGGTCATGATGGTTGCACAACAATGTAAATGTACTTAAAGCCATGGAACCGTACACTTAAAAATAGTTAAAATGGTAAATTTTGGGTTATGTATATTGTGCCACAGTGAAAAGTATGGAGATGTTTGTTTGACATTTCAGTAGAGTCTGCAGTTTGTGGTCGGTACTGAAGGTAAAAATTGGAGGGTTACAGACATAATTAGCTTTGAGGCCTGGAAGGTGGTTGAGATCCTCAAAGGAATAAGTGTGAATATGCAAGACCATGGACAGGACACGGGGGCGCCCTGGGAGAGGAGGAACGTGCAAGAGAGACTGGGCAGGAGAGCCCAGTGACTTAGCAGGAAGGTTGCTCTGAAATCTAAGTGGAGAGAGTTTATCAGTGAAGATGCTAGCAACTCTTCTCAGGAAGAAAGGGTGTGAACTCTTTACAAGGCATGTGTCCTTCCAGACAGAGTCAGAGTTGTGCACTGCAAACATAGAGACCATTTGTTCAGAGGAACCTTAGGTTTTGTTGAACATGTTTTACTCCCAATGCCATGGAAGTCTGGCAGAGCTCCAGGTGTTGTAAAAAAGCTTCCATAAACATTTTATAAAGCAACCTAGATTATTTCTCTAGTCTTCTCTAGTGACTACCACCTTTCCATAACCAGGAAGGAAACAGACAAATAGGTGACAGCCCAGGTGACGTCTTTGCTTCTTATCTACTTCATATGGAATGATTTATGCAAACCCCAGAAGTTCTGGATTTATTACTCAAGTCCAATTATCTAAAATTTAGCTATCAGTGGGGCTGCTTCATAGTGAGTGATGTTTGGGTAAAAAAATCAGTGTCCTTGAACAACACAGGTTTGAACTATGGGTGTCCATTTATATACAGATTAATACCTGTACTGTTTTCAGTCTTTGGTTAGAAGTCTGTGGGTGTGAAGAGCTGACTATATGCACTATCTATACCATTTTATATAGGGAACTTGAGCATCCACAGATTTTTGACTGTACAGAGGGTTGGTGCCTATAACCCCTGCATTGTTCAAAGGTCAATTGTAATTATAAAACATAGACTTTTTAGAAGACTGATCCATTCATTTTATACAATAAATATTTACTGAGAAACTACAATGTTTTAGGGACTAGGAACATGTATGTGAAGTAGTCTCTGTTGTCATATAGCTTACTCTCCAGTGGAGTAAAAAGTAATAAAGAGGTGAATCAATAAATACAGTTCAATTGTGAAAGAAGCTATGGAAACAAATAAAGTAATATAAGGCAGGGAACCAAAACATATTTCTATAAACACTCATGTTTACAGCACCAATATTGACAATAAATAAAAAGTGTAAACAACCCAAGTACCTATCAGTGGGTGAATGGATAAACAAAATGTGGTATGGACATAAAACAGAATACTATTCAGCCTTAAAAATGAAGGAAATTCTTACACATGTATAATGTGGATGAAAATATGCTAAGTAAAACAGGACAGTCCCAAAACAACAAATATTGTATAATTCCACTTATATGAGGTACCAATAGTAAAATTCACAGATATAAGAAACAGAGTGGTGATTGGCGAGATTAGAAGAAGGAAGGAATTGGGGAGCTCATGTTTAATGGGTAGAGTTTCAATTGGGAAGATGAAAAAACTCTGGAGATGGATGGTGGTGATGGTTGAACAACAAAGTGAATGTTCTTTTTTAAGAAAAGTATGTTTTTACTAAGTTCAGAGAGAGAAAGGGAGAGATAGAAACATTGATAGGCTGTCTCCTGCACGCCTTCTACTGGGAATCAAGCCCACAACCTGGGCCATGTGTCCTGACTGGGAATCAAACCAGCAACCTCCTGGTTCATGGGTCAACACTCAACCACTGAACCTCACTGGCTGGGCTGGATGTTCTTGATGTCAAATCAATAGAACTGTATGCCTAAAAATTGTTAAAATAGTATATATTTACTAATATGGTATGTATACTTAACCACAATAAAAAAGATGCAATAGAACAAAATAACAGAGCAAGACTGTGAGATTTCTTTCAGATAATATTTTTAATCCTATCTAATAAAAGACAAAAAGGGTAATTAAGCATACCTCCACTACGCTTCCCATTGGCTAATCAGGGCGATATGCAAATTAACTTTCAACAAAGATGGCGGCCGGCAGCCATGCAGCTGAAGCGAACATGAGGCTTGCTTGCTCCAGTGATGGAGGAAGCCAAGGTTCCCTGCCTGCCGCAGCCTGCTCTAAGCTCCGAAAGCAACAGCTCCAAAAGCAACAAAGTTTCAATTATAGAAGCCAAACAAACCCCAGATAC